TTTTGTGTTTTAACCTTTCTTTATTTTTTATCGATTGAAAATGCCTGAGATTTTGGGCGAAACGTCTCGAATTTTTCATTTGTAAATTTAGCCTTCTTTCTCCAGGTCGTGCTTTAGGAGTTATATCTATATATGTACTACTTAATAGAGTCCCTTTATACCCAGAGTTAAGACAACTCACTTTTGGTTCGGCTGAAAGTGGCCTAAAAAAAAATCCAATTCTGATTGGTTCTCGCTCATGGAGGCCGAAACGAGTGCACCAAGATGGCGGTACCTCGAATGTGAACAAGAATAATGAAAATATTACCTAATTGTGGTTTATCAAGAGTAAATTGTTATTGCCATCGGTCCAAAATGAAAATAGATTAAGAAATTATTCACAAACCAATCTCATTTTCTTTTTAATTGATCAATTTGTTGATGTTGTTGTTTCTGTGTGACAGACATCGCAGGATTCCTGATCCTTATCCCCCAATATCGTTCGAGTGCACTAGTTTCGGCCTCCATGGCCAGCCAAGGTCGGCTGCCAGTCAGCTGATAATCGAGTTGTCGTTACTCTGGGTATAAAGGGACTCTACTACTTAATAGTTATTAGCTTAATAAATAGATGGAGTTTTAAGTACATGAAAATTTTAACAAAGTAAAAGTGTACATTTTTAAAGGTTGTAACTCACACTAAAAACTCCATCCATACCCTAGTAGCAGAACAAATTTTTCTTTTTCTAAAAAAAGTATAGATAAAACATATCCGTTATCTAAATGGTAGTTTTATATAAAAAACGTGTGCATAATGCTTATATAAAAAAATCAAAGTTCAGACCTGACCATAATGTATGAAAAATGATAAAAGCTAGGTAAGGTAATTTTTTTTTATGGACAATTTTTTTTATTTTTTTATATAAAGCATGCATATGAAAGTATTAAAAGTGAACAATTTTATTAAACTATTATATAAAAAAAAGGTCATCATTTTTGTTCAGACCTGATTTCTTTACCCACACCCAACTCTCCTCAAATGAGGTTCTCGCTAGAATGGGAAAATCCATACAAAAAATAATAGTGACCGACACCTCGTAAAAAACTGTATTTTATATAAATGACGGTCAGAACACACACACACACCCTCACAGACACCCTGACACACACACACACACACCCTCACACACACACACACATATATATATATATATATATATATATATATATCAAATGATTTGTTCTGACCGTCATTTATATGAAATGCAGTTTTTTACGAGGTATCGGTCACTAATATTTTTTTTGTATGGATTTTTCCATACTAGCGAGAACCCCATTTGAGGAGAGTTGGGTGTGGGTAAAGAAATCGGGCCTGTTGTCAGCGCCACTACCGGTTTCACGCTTGTTAGCGATCTTCAGGTGTGCATAGACAGCCAGTCCCGATTAGAAGCTCGAACACTCTGAGATGCCGTGCAAATCAGAATGCCAAACTCCGGCGGGAGCCACACTGCAGCGCGGCTCACGCCCTCTACCGTTAGCCACCCAACAACTCCTAAGGTTTTACCTCTGGCGGCTAGCCGCAACGCGACTAATAAGCCAACCCGAAGGCCTCCAACGGAGGAAATTCGAGCAATCCATTTATGGACATGTTGCTCAGCACTCACGCCTCTGTGCCTATACAAATCAAATGATTTGTTCTGACCTGTTTCTTTAGCCACACCCAACTCTCCTCAAATAAGGTTCTCGCTAGTATGGAAAAATCCATACAAAAAAAATATTAGTGACCGATACCTCGTAAAAAACTGCATTTCATATAAATGACGATCAGAGCAAATCATTTGATTTGTATAGGCACAGAGGCGTGAGTGCTGAGCAACATGTCCGTAAATGGATTGCTCGAATTTCCTCCGTTGGAGGCCTTCGGGTTGGCTTATTAGTCGCGTTGCGGCTAGCCGCCAGAAGTAAAACTTTAGGAGTTGTTGGGTGGCTAACGGTAGAGGGCGTGAGCCGCGCTGCTAGTGTGGCTCCCGCCGGAGTTTGGCATTCTGATTTGCACGGCATCTCAGAGTGTTCGAGCTTCTAATCGGGACTGGCTGTCTATGCACACCTGAAGATCGCTAACAAGCGTGAAACCGGTAGTGGCGCTGACAACAGGCCCGATTTCTTTACCCACACCCAACTCTCCTCAAATGAGGTTCTCGCTAGTATGGAAAGATCCATACAAAAAAAATATTAGTGACCGATACCTCGTAAAAAAACTGCATTTCATATATATATATATATATATATATATGTATTTTTAAACACACACACACAGAGATATATATCACAAAGTATAGCCCGAACTGTATGTAACAACGTAGTGAAATGGTGCTGGGTCCACAGTTCTCTCCCCCTTCAATTTTGAACTAGCACTCATTAGAGCTCAGAAATTTTTGTTGACTCTAATTGTAATGTTTTGTATCTTTCGGCTTAGATTTCCCCGCGAAATGGTGTGGATCCAGCACCATTTCACCACCATGTTATATTTGTATGTACGTATTTCTGCCCATCCAAGATTTTTCGATTTCTGAGTAGTTATGTCTTTATCACGTTGCAAGATAATTTGATCATTTTTTTTTGCGTTTCGTAGAGCCTCATTAAAGCTACTATTCTCCCAATAAAGAGATTAAAATTTGAGGCAATAGATTTTGAGAGGTGGGGCTCGAAAGTGAAGGGAGGCCAAATCTTGTCCACTCGATAACTCGAGTTAAAATGGATATTTTGAGCTGAAATTTTTATGGGTGGTAGTTCCCCGTTAGACTGGTTTAATGTTGAATTTCAGCAAAATCGGCGGAGCCGTTAAAAATGGCGAGCTTTGAAAGTTTTAGACGGGGGGGTGTGAGCGCCATGAGAGGAGCCGGCTGCAGCCGTAGAGTACCTATATTGAGAGAGTATTGCCACTGGTGTTACCACTTCTGATTGGCTCAGCCATCTTAGGCTGAATGGAGCCCTTAGGACCCAAAAATGGCGGACGCCATAAATTAATGTAATGCAAAATGACTCAAAATGTAGTTTTCTTTGCTTATCGCAACGAGAAATTTACCCAAATGCACTATTGCGACTTCTTTACATATTTTTAAGGCTAATCGTGTGCAACTTTTGAGAAAAGTTAGCTCAGATGTGGTGAGGTTGGCAGCAAGTGCGGTTGGTGAAAACCGTCAAAAGTTGGCGAAGACCCCCCCTCCCTTCCACAAAAACCAAAACAACGCACCGCCATTTTTGGGTCCTAAGCCTCTCCATGGGACCCAGTGGCCATACTCTCTCAATATAGGTACTCTACGCAGCCGGAGCTGAGCCGCATTGTGGGTCAGGGAGAGTTTTTCAACCAGCTTTTAGGCGCTCAGTGGTCCAAGGGCAAGAAGATTTCAAACGCACTGTTTGTCGCACACAGGTAGGGGAAAGGAACTAAGTGGAAAAACTTCTCATTACACAATGACTTACGGACATACAATTCTTTGACTGAAACATACTTGCTTCCGCGGTGGATGCGTGGGACACTTCAAAAGAAGAAACAACCAGATACCTAGGAATAGGGCTGTTCTATCGGTTTATGGTAAGCTACCGAAACAGTTCCGTTACGAAAAAGTTACGATAAGAGCTCTCTTGCCGATAGCGATCAGAGTTTTCGGAGCTGGCGAAAATAAGCTGTTGCCATTTGTACATCTATTTTACTCGCTGCCACGCCAGGCAATCTGATAAACCGACACACGGGGCAACAATGCATTGAGTGCGAGTTCTCAAAAATCCGATAAGGCCGGCTGTTGTCGATATCACCCCACTGTCGGTACTGCCGCCAGTTTCAATAAGAGACGATATCGACAGTGTTCCGGCAAGAAATCATTTGAACACCCCTACCCAGGAAACCCTGAAAAAACCAAAGATTACTAAGGACGCCAGATACCGCACGTCATATACTTGCCGGTGGAAAGAAGCGGCCCCCCAGTCGCCTGCAGCGCCAGGGTAGGCAACCTGTATAGCGGTATGCTATACTTTAGCCCACTTGTAATGGAAGTGCATGGGAAATTGCACTTCGAATGTGAAAATTATGAACGACAAATTGCGAAAATCGTTCATTTTAGTCACTAGTCAAGGTAAATAGACTCAGAAAATTGAGCAGAGATATTTGCATTAATTTTTTCTTTCTTTCTTTTTTTTTTTTGGGTTTTTTCGGCATTTTTTAATGATTTAAAACATAAGAAAATTTAATACAGTGAATCTTCAACCAAACTTAGCACAGCACGGCGAAACCAGTCAAACACACGGCAAGCAGTATATTCGTTAGCTCGAAGTATGGCATACCGCTTAACAGGTTGCCTACCCTGGAGCTGCAGGGGACTGGGGGGCCGTTTTTCATTTCAATGCAGTATCTGGAGTCCTTAGTAATCTTTGGAAAAAACTCGCGTAGTGCGTTCATGGGCAGTTTGCAGGGTGCTCGTTTCTTTTCATTCTGTTTTTCCTGGTCCACCGTGAGGAAAAGTGGCGATTTCCCTGTAAAAATGACAGTTTATTGCTCGAGCGATTTCCACCCATTTTGCTCGACCATATCTCAGATTCATCTGGGTGATCATCAAAAGAGTTGAGCACCAAGTAGGTATAGCCATAGCCAGACTAAATTTAATGCTTAATCTGTACTTAAAGTGTGCTGAGCACTTGCTTAATTATTGTTATTATTTTGTAAATATTTTTTTCTTCTTCTTTGTTTTTTGTACGGTTCCCTAACTAATCTTTAAATAAGTCTTCCACTTCAGGAGAAGAGAGTCAGTGTTTTGTCTAGAAACGTTTTGTATTTATTGCTAGATAAAACATTTATTCAATCATATTTGTAATTGCTCAGGGGTTCTCCAAATTCCAAAGCATTTAGTCTAAATGAGTACAAACATCCGGAGCACATACAGGTTGCTAGTTCATGAAATAAATGAAGAGTCTGGCAGGATAATCTTTTTAGAATAGTTTTACTGCCCACTAGAGGTAAACACACTTACTTTCATACTTGTCCACTCCCATGAATAAAGTGACTGGTGGCGAAACCGCTGGAAACAAAGAAAAACTAACATATATATAATGTTAAAAAGAGATAATGAGGAAAGCTTGACCAAAAAAACAATCATGTTTGTTAAAAATTTAGTCTGTCTTACGTTTGATACATAGGGATTACTGACTATGATTACACAAGACTTTTAATGTGAATTGAAAACATATTTCCCAATCCAAATCAAGAGTTGCGTGCTGGAGTTCTTTGTTTGAATATTATGCGTGACTCAAACCTCTCCTGTAGACTTAATTTTTTTATTTTACTTACAAGGAGGATATTTTTCTGTCTGTTGACACCATGCTCAGGGCCTACCAAGACCAATCCATGCAGGTCAGTCATTCCCGAGGATGAGTTTTGGTACTCTACTGCACAGTGATGTAGTATTGAGTGCCTGCAATGTATTTCTTATGGGAGCACTCGATGCTACGTCACAATGGGTGCTGCGAGTTAGGGCCGGGCGGGGGAGTGGATTTCAAAAAAGCTGCGCAATGACTGACCTGTGTGGATTGGTCTTGGGGCCTACTTTGCGTTTCACTGCCTGAGCACAACGTCAACAAACATTGACTCCATAATCAGATTTTGGTTTGTTGACACCATGCAACATTACCGCATAAAAAAGGCTTACAAGTTCTTCTTTAGTGAGGAACGCCATGCACAGTCTTCAGAACACTTGCCTAAGTTTTTAATTCCCACTCCTCAAGTAAGGTGGATCATGCAATGAGTGTGTGAATAAACAATACGTACCATTACTTGTGTAGTAAAACACCATTTTAGCAGAACAAGATGATATGCGACTACCTAAGATTAATATAATATTACCATTTTAGTGATTGACTCGGAACCATCAACGAAACACGCAAAATGAATAAGAAAGAGGCAAAGAGGTTATGTTAGTCTGTTTGTTTTGGATTAGAGTACCTTTATGGACAGAGTAATAGACGCTATTAGTGCAACGTCACAGAAAAGCGATATATATCGATTTTTTCGCACTGGTAGCATTGAAAGAGGTTATGCCAATGTTATTGTTTGGATCCAATTCGATATAATGGAGAATCCCTATGATGACGTCGCCACTAATAGCGTCTATGGCCAGGGACGAGTCAGGGACCAGTTCTATAGGACCCTGGACTCCCGTAAGAGTCAATGTAAAAATTCGTGAGCAGGTACTAGTGCTGCATTCCATAGAGTACATAGAGTCGTAATGTAAATGGGAGAGCTGGCGCCATGTTCTGCTCGACGAGTTCCGAGCCCGGTGTGCGCCGAGTTCGGGTCACTTTTTCGATACATTTTCGATCCAAAATGGCGGTGTGGAATACATGGTGATTCCTATCTCCTTCGTTGTTGTTGTTAGAGTCCCTTTATACCCAGAGTTAAGACAACTCACTTTTGGTTGGGCTGGAAGTGGCCTAAAAAAAAATCCAATTCTGATTGGTTCTCGCTCATGGAGGCCGAAACGAGTGCACCAAGATGGCGGTACCTCGAATGTGAACAAGAATAATGA